CGGCGCCGGTGCTGGGCCCGATTCCCGTCTACGTCGCCCGCGACGAACTCTAAGCTTTTAGTGTGGAATCGCAGCCCAGTTTTGAAGGTCTGTTTTCATCGATCCTATACCGGCGTTGTGTGGTGATGAGCCCTGGTTCGGTGTTGGTGGCTCTTACTGGGGTGCAAGTGTTGTGGCATCCTGTCCTAGCCGCCGAGGTTGCTTCTCTGAGAGACGTGTCATCACGGCAGTTCTGATGATCACCACGAAAGGCCCGCGCTGCCACGTCACACTATCCGGATAACTACGGATACGACAATCCGGCACAGTCAGGCAGTGACAGCCAGGGGTCTCTTTCACAACAGACCAGCACGCCGACAGGACGCATGGCAGCCACACTGGGTGGCAGCAGAGAGCTCATGGCCACCATCGCGGGCTACGTCCCCAGCGCCAAGGCCTTGCGCACGCTCCTGGAAGCGCTACCGCCCAACTTGCTCGGCGAAGCGTGGACAAGCGTCCTCCGTCTTCTGCAGCATCCAAAACTTGACCCGAATGCGATCTGGCCGATTGCGCAGTTCACGGCTATCAAGGCCGTCGTTGCTCCCAGAGGCAAGGTCAACGTGTGGACACTTCCGGAGCTCGAGCCGCTCTGGGCGATGGGCGTCGACGTGGTGTTCAAGTTCCCCTGCGACCACTGCGTCGACTGTCGACGCCTCGTGCCACCACATCTTGTCTACATGCATGCCTTCGGCTTCCAACATTCGGCTACCATCAACGTTGCTCGAGGCGTCTGGACGAGCTGCGTGATCCGTCTGCCGCCGTCCAGCACCGCGGACGATGTCAAGCGCTATGCGTCCGCAGTGGCGGCGATGCCATCGCTGCGCCACGTCATCATCGACCTCTCTCAGATCGCGTACACACTCGAGTCTATGCCACCCCAGTATGAGCATCGCGCCGACGTGTTTCCTGCTGCGCTCGAGCCATACGTCTGGTCGACCCTCTCTCCGTCGCACGTTCGCGACGTCACGATCCTCGGCAGCAACCTCTTGGCGACAACCAAAGGCGTCCAGTCGGCCATCCAATGGCTTTCGTCGCGGCCTCTGCGACGCCTCTGTTTGGCCGAAGCTAAGGTTGACGCCCATACCGTCACCGCGTTCGTCACCGCGCTGCGCGACTGCACCACGCTCTCCACCATCGAGCTCAGCTACGACCTCGTGCTTCTACCGGCGTTCTTGTCGGCGCCACTGCCACGTCATTTGCGCCGCTTGCGCTTGTTTGTGAGCGACGAGCCGTACCACGCAGAGACGGGCTGGCACAGGATCACGTCGCTTCCGGTGGCTCTCGTGACCACGGCCATCGCGGGCTCGGCGTTGACGCACTTGTCGATCGATCTCGACAGTCTGGACGACCAAAGCGCCGCTGCGATCGTGTCGACTGCGTTCCAGCATATGCCGTGTCTCGACCACTTGGAGCTGCTCAACGTCCGGCGTGCGCCGCCTCTGAACGCCGTGCTTGACGCGGGCGCGGCACGGATTGCAGCACTCGAGTCGATGCGATTGCAAGAGCCGATTGAAGACTACTAAACTACTAGTGTGCAAAAGTATAGTTTTTTGGTTTCGATAACGGAGTAGATGGAAGATCTCGATAGCATCACTGCGTCGACGACGACGACGACGGCGTTCGGATCATGTCCATGTGCATGATGCCATCCTCTTCGTAGAGCTCGGACGTCTGGAGAAACCCGAGCGACTTGTAAAATGGCTCGAGGTAGGCCTGCGCGTTGATGACAATGCTCTTCTCCGGCCACTCGGCCTCGCACGCCGCGATCGCTTCCTGCATGACGGTCTTGCCGAGGCCATGGCCGCGAAAGGCTGCGGTGGTGAGCACGCGGCTGATCATCGCGTAGTCTTGCGTCGGGCCTTTCGTACCTGGGCCAAGCAGCCGCGCGTACGCAGCGACTTGGTTGGTGGGCGTCGTGCCAACCAAGTGGCGCATCGTGGCCGCCTTGTCGAGGTTGTCGACCTCGAGCCAGACGCACTTTTGCTCTGCGACAAAGACCGAGCAGCGCGCGTGGAGGATGTCGTAGAGCCTTTCGGCCGAGAGCTCGGAGAAGCGTTTGCAGGTCCACTGGACTTTCGGGGCCATGGCGCTCGTCGGCGGCGTTTCGGGAAATGATACGAAAAAGTCCGCTGGTTGGCGTGAACGACCTACATTCGTCGGCTAGGGTAATAATCCGAAAACCATGCGGCACGAGACAGCGATGGATGGCCAGCTGGTGGTCCGACAACTCTGTGCTCTATTGTCGTCCCTAGACATGGCAAAATGCAGTTGGCTTCCCTTGCGCAGCGCTCGACATCGATTCAAAAACGTCCATATCATGTAGTATGTTTCTCAAAGCTTTGCGGCACGGTGTACAGACGAAAGGCCGCCTCCAATCTTCTCCCTCGAACGCAGATACGTCGTCCTCGTCGACCTCGCAACTCCTTGGAAAGACGACTGTTCTAGAACCCATCGCGGTAATGGTGGCGTGGCCCAACGACGGGACCTTGATAATATAAAGTTCGTGTGATTACACCCCCGGGTAAAACCGCCGCCCCACGGCCACGGAATGATGACGCGCGACGACGTAGCATATGCGAATGACATTGGTGTTGTTGTGAAGTGCGTCATCTTGGTTACAACTACTAGTATAGCGTTGTCATCGCGTCGTTCTCCCCGCTCTTTCTCGCTCAAGGTTTACACCACTCTTTTGTGCGTGCCTATTTTGTGGTTCGGCGTCGATCGAGGAACTTTTAGAGGTAGTGAGTGGGGTTGGGATTTTCAGGAACTCTCATTTTTCATTTCACGATGCTCGGCCCACGCCAAAAAACGCTGGTGGTCATCTCGGAAGACGACGAGACTGCATTTGTCAGTGTCCCGATGGACTGGAAGGTGCCGCTGCTTACGTGCAGCGACGTGCCAGCGCTGGCCATGGCAACGTGCTGCCCAGTCGTGTCATTGGCCAAGGTGCTCTCGCTGCTAAGTCTCGCGCCGTTTGGCAGTGTACTCGTGCTCGGTGCCTTCTACGTGGTTTCTTTGCTTGGTGCACTCGCCAATGTGATCTGGCACGATGCGTCCCCAAGCTCGGTTCTTTTTATGGCGTTGTTAAGTCTTGTACCGACCGTCGTGCTCTTCAACCTCCGTGTGTATCTCCGCGAGCTATTGAGTTTACCAAGCGCCGAGTGGAGTGATGCCGGCGCTGCTCTCTGCTGCGCACCCTGCCTTTTGGCTCAGGCTTCCACGCAAGTCGGCGTCAGTCCGTGCGACTGCAGCGACAACGCGACCCTTGTCGCGTTCCCCGTCGTGTAGTCTGTAAACTCTCGTTTGTTCTAATCCAACACCGTCGATGTAACTACAACCCGAGTTCGACTCTAACACATTATTGAGGTCTCCATTCATCGCAGACAGACATATCATTGTCACGGTGCACTGGGTGGATCCCGGCGCCGGGGGCTCGACAGCACGGCAAAATCACTCTCGAGCATTGGCTGCCAGTCCTTGTTGACCCAGCGCTCGTACTGTTGGAACTGCGGGTCGTCCGAGAAGCTTTCGCTGATCCAGTCGGCGTCGCTCGTCCATGGAACGATCTGGTTGTGGACGACTTTGGGGCCGTTGTACAGAATCTGCTTGATGCGCGTGTGGCCCGCGCCCAAGCGCTCGAGGCAGTACCTAGATAGTTGCATGGTCTGTCCCGCTCTCGCACACGATCCAAGCTGTACCAAAACATGCGCGGACGCCACCGGACGTTCTCGGGCTGCAGTGCGTCTTGGCTGAAATTCCCAAACAAAAAGACAATCCGGTCCTGCGTCGCAAACTCGCGGCACACGTAGTAGTTGCTCTCGTCCGCCGTGAGCGCCGTGCGCCGGTACACCATCTTGGCATCGATGCTTTTGATGATCTACAACAAGCGACTCGTACGTGCTGCAAGCCACGAAAGGTCGTCGACGTACATCGGCGTCGAGGAACTCGGACATGGCGGCTTGCGTGTCGCCGCGGAGCTCGTCCCAGATCTTATCGTGGAGGGCTGCGTACGTCGCCTCGAGCGGCAGGTCGCAGTCGATCTGGATACGCCCGAGGATGTCCGAGACGCCATTTTCATGGTCGACGACTGAGATGTCACGGACGGTGCCCGAGCTTGGAAAGGCGCAGAGTTGCTGCATCCGGTCCGTGTTGTAGTACATGTGCTGCGTGAACCAGTCAAGGCCGAGCTTGCGGGACGCTGCGTCTGCGAGAAGCACGATGGGTGTCGATGTGAACGGCCGGCCAACGTCCTACAGTGGAGGTTCGCGATATCCATACACGTCGAAGCGAGGTACCGGCACGTTGTTGCGACGGGACATGGATCCGACCCACGCCGACATGACGCGGCCGAGGCGGTACATGGCCTCGCACCGGTCGCGCAGCACTTGGAGCGAGAGGCGCGCCTCGACGCTGGCCTGCGCGAGGCTGCCTGCCACGTCCTTCCAAGGTAGCAAGCTCGTGGGCACGACCTGCTTGTGCCCGAGCTCCGTGAGCACCGATCGCATCTCGGTCACTTGCGCTAGAAGCCGCTCGCGCTCATTGAGGTACCGATCCCGACGCTTCTTCTGCTTGACGCGGTTGCGGAGGCGCAGCACGAGCCGCCGGTGCTCCTTCTTCGCCTCGTCCATCGACTCCATCCCGCCTGTCTGTTTTTATATCGACATACACTCGGGTAAAAGACCGTCACTCGTGCGTCCGTTGACCTTTTACGGAACTGAAGCACGAGAAACGGCACGGACAGATTGTCCTTCAAAGCAACGACAGGTTAATCCTCTCCTTCCTAGAGGTTAGCAAGTTGCACGTGCCGCTCCATGGAGTAGAGCCGAATGCGACAAGAGATGCACTACTCGAGCCGGCTGCGCAGTGGTGCCGCTTCAAGCACCGCAGTCAGCGCTGGCCCACGTCGAACGTTGAAGAGCTCCAAGTGTTCGAGGCTCGGCACTTGCTCGAGCGCAGTCGACACGTTCGCCGCGACATTCTGGTCGTCTAGCTCTTGGACATCCAGCCTGAAGTGCGTCAAGGGCGAACCAGCGATGGCCGTCGCCACACGTTCTACCGGAAGCGCATGATGTTGTAGCTGACCGAGTCGGGGTGGTACCGTCTGTCACTCACAAGCAAGCCCAAACGGTCAAATGACGTGGCAGCGGCGCCGACAAGAACGCCGACACAAGCCTAAGATCGTAGCTGAGTTCGATGGTCGACAGCGTGGTGCAGTTGCGCATCGCGGTGACGAAGGCAGCAACATTGAGGGCCTCGACTTTGACCAAGAGGCGCCGCAGGGGTCGCGAGCCATTGGATGACTAAACAGAAGCCGTTGGTCGTCGCCAAGAGGTTCAAGGATCGTGACGTCAACGAGATGCGACGGAGAGAGGGCCGCTGTGGCACTGCCAGAGGCAAGCGCACGAACGCGTGTTGCGTGGTATCCATTGATGACAATAGGAAGAGGGCCCTACTAGCAATCCTAGCTTGCATGACGAAGCGTACCTCGAGTCATCATGTACTGCAAGTCGCTCGCGTTTACCAGGGGTCTGATCTCCATGTATCGAGGACGCTAGAGTGCGATGCACAGGACCTAATGACTATACCCAGTTATGGGCTTGTTTATAGACTCGAGCCATGCACGAGCACAGAGGATTGTTGTACGCAAGGATTTGACCCAGCAAACTATTGTCGTTCAATTTATCACGCTAGTAATCGGCCGCACCAAACATATCAATCGGCTCGACGTCGGACTCCTCACTCTCCAACGCTTCGAGCCCGTGCAATTGCATGGACGCGAGCGCTGCGATCCGAGTCGCATGTGTGTCGAGCACTGCATTCAGCAGTGGACCGTGTCGAACGTGGAACAGCTCAAGGTGTGTGAGGCACGGCATTTTCTCCAGCGCGGTCAACAGAAGCGTCGCAACGCCTCGGTCGTCGAGACGGTCGACAGCCAGCGACAAATGCGTCAAAGCAGAGTCCGCGATCCCCGAAGCCACGAGCTCGAGGGAGATCGCCGAGATGTCGCACCAGTCCGACTCGGAACGAACCGGCATGCTGCTCACAAACAAGCGCAAGCGGCGCAAGTGACGTGGCAATGGCGCGGACAAGAACGCGGGTAGAAACAAAACGTCGTAGCTGAGCTCAATGGTCGAAAGCGTCGTACACTCGCGCACCGCCGTTACCAGAGAGGCGACGTGGTCGGCCTTGTGCTGGACGTCGTCGAGGCAAAGGCGCCGCAGAGGCCGATGCGCGAGGAATTGGATGGCCGAACGGACGCCTTCGGGCGTCGCCAAGAGATTGCCACCGAGGAGCGTGACGTCGAGAACGTGCGACGCAGATAGCGCTGCCCAGAGGTGCCGCCCGACCGCATCCGGGAAGGGTGCGTCGTCGTACTCGAACGACGGCGCGTCATCGAACCATTCGTATTCCGTGAGCTGGGCGAGGTCGATCGTGATGCAGCGCAATGACG